GTACTATTTTATTAACAAAAAATGCATCTCTAAAAGTATAAATGCACTGTAATCTATCTCTTACTGACCTTTTTTGTTTAGTTTGGAAGGCCGAACATTTGGTGCCAATGTAAATATACTAATGAAGAAGAAACTCATGTCATGCAAGACTTCTATGAATAGCCAATATGTCTATATTCTTTTACTTACAAATATATCAGAATATTAAACATGTCAAAAAAGTGTCAGTCATCTTATCTTTAATTCTACAAGAGTAATGTTCTGGCATATCAAGATTTTATTCCTTTTAATTGAGGGTCCCCATCAAATCATGAACCTAACCCTGCAATGTCTGATGCGACGGTAATTTTTTGTTAAACGTAAACGTATTACGAATTATTATTTTCTGCACATGAAATATACGATGATAGGTACGCAGAAGCACAAAAAAATCGTTAATTTCATAACTCTAAATGATTGGCCCTTTATCTTGTTTAAGGACATATGCAATGTACCTTATCTACTGATAATTTTTTAAGATATTCTTAATTTAAGATTATAGTGTCATCAGATGTTCGTAGATAAAATATCAGCATGCATTACCAGGAGTTTTTGAAAGATATCAATTGATGAAAATTTTTGGATAATTCAAAGAAAAATATATAAAAAATACTAAACATATATTCTAGATGTTTCTTTTATCCAAAATTGTTATAGAAGAAGTGTTCAACACCGTATATAGAAGTTAAAATATAACATACAGTTCCTTCAAGATTTGGAACTCTTCAACTCCATGGAAAATGACAAAAAAATTCAAACTACGTTGCGTATGACCTTAATTGTACTTTAGTCATGTTGAAGCATTTGATTTGGATTTATATGAAACAAAATAGCCTGTTTCTAATCCTTAGGAGAAAACCCAGCACTGACTCCTTCTTTTTTTAATAAAAGAATATTTGACTGGGAAATTTTGAGCATGCAGAAAACAAAACAAAACAAATACATTTTCTGGATGCTAAAATCATGAATAATAACAAAGAGGACAGCCAATTGTCTTTGAAAGAATCCATGATGATTTATTGGTAGTGTTTAGGTGCTTTTTTCTCGATCGACCCTTCTTTGATGCGAAGGAGAATGAAGACATAGGCATTGATTACAATAGAACCTTATGATTTACGAGGATGAATGTCTCATCATTGGCATTCAGTTTTGATTGGAAATCATGATGCCAAACAGCTTTAAAGTACAACGGAAAATGTGCGCAAAGTCGGTGAAGGATGTATGAGAATTAATAGAAGCATCACCATTTGATTGATACTTCATAAATCTAATTAAAGTGTAATGCTTATGAGAGCTATATCAACCATTAATCATAGCATGAAAGAAGAAGCAAATGTAGAACCTAATTCTGTAGCTTTTTGGCCTATAATTTCAATAAATATATAACAATGATAGAGTTTATTTCATGAAATACTTCGGGAAATAAAATTCACATTTGGCTCTTTTAAACGTTTGGAAAATGGTCAATTCCTTTAATCAAGACTTCATGAAGATTATGCCAGGTGTTTGGGCGAAATACATGTTCATGTATATGTATGGGAGATCTGAACTCATTGTCAGAATGGATCAAGTGTTTGTAAATTTATATAGGCGTACCGTGGTATACAGTTAAAAAGAAAATATAAACAATCTATTATTTCGTTTTGACTGAATCGGAGATGATAAAAAGAATGAGAAAGACTACATAAACAATGTGAAGTGGATCCAGAAGACAACACATGTAACTATCTCTCTGTTCGTGAGAACCATTCGTGTAACTGTATGTTAGAAGAACATCCATCGTTTCTACATCTGAAAATCCAATTTACACTCACAGTTTCTAAGGATGATTTTTTTTTCAAAATCATATTTCAGTCTTTATACACGTAACTTTAAATATTTTAGTAAAAACTGCAAGTTAAACTCCCAGGTCAATTTCAGAATTGGTATCAACAGGAAGGTCTTGTCACAAGGAATACACCTGTGAAATATGAAAGCCCAAATACGAACGATTCAAAAGTTATTGCAAAGGGTAAAGTTTTTCAAAAGTGGGCAAAACTCTAAGGTCAAGATCAAAAGGTCAAAATTATTTATACCCAAATTAATACTAAGGTCTTACTGCTACAAAGCATAAACTTTAGACATACATGTACTATGCCACAGTACTTATATTCTAGAAGAGGTGTTAACCAAATGTGAATTCTCAAAAGCTCCAAAGAATTTTTCGAAAATTTAAGATCTTAACATTTTTTACAGTCAATTATAATATCTTTTCTTCAATTTATTTAACCATTTCTATTGCTGAATTAAAAACAAGTCTTTTTGATATCATAGATAACTGTTTCTGTGATAAAATGGAACTCGAAAATTTTCATTTCTTGTGATTGGTCATTAGCATAACTACTTGGTTAAGAAAATTCTCTCATTATCCACTCAAATACTCTACATGAAATATTAACAAATAGATGCTTCTCAGTTCCTCAGTGACAACATTTTTGTAGTCTTTATTATTGATTAGAGATCTTACAACAAACTGTTGAAATTTCGACGAGTACTGTAGGTCTTTCATATAAGCTGACTTGTTAAATTTTCCTTTGCAGCAGAATTTGTTAAAAGAAACATTGCACTCTAAAAAGAATAAAACACTTCCCGAGTCCTTCAACACGACATAAGTTTTATCAACTAACAGTGGTTAATATGTCGACTCAAAATATCATAGGGAAATCGAAATAAAAGTCAAGACAGAGTCTGTCACATCTGTTCTGATTATTTACTGACTAAAGACGAAACTTACAACTTACAACCATATTAGTAAAAGGGATGTCTAGCCTTTTCTATCGTCTACTTTCTACATATGATGTTTTTGTTTCACAACATTTTCGATACTTACGAGGATATTCTTACATAATTAGTTTTTGGACTAAAAAAGGCATGACGCCACAGCAATGGTTAAATTTTCTGTCAATACAAATGTTCAAATACGTTTATAAATATTAAGAAGGTTGAAATGGCTTTCGGGTTTTCCTTTTCTGAAAGATATACGTGTCCTTCGCCATATTCTTGATATTGTATTTAATGAAATAAGAAAGGTCAATAACTGAATATATTCACTATTGATTTATTATCTGAACCCAATATGGGAATGTTCTTTTTTTCCAAATTGTCCTAATAAATAAATATCAAGATGAATTTAAGACAGATGTGTGGTTTGTTTCACGTCAGTAAACCTTAATATTTTTTGGGAATAAACGAGAATATACAAATTAGCGACAAGTTTTCAACATGCGATTCTAATTTTGGCAACCCATTTATTTAATTTGATAACCGCGGATGAATACATCATTATTTGCTCGCCGGAAAAGATTGTTTTATCAATGGTCTTTGTGATGTGTAGAAATTCTTATATAATTCTATCATTTCTTGTATTAGAAAATAAATTATATACAATTATGTGCTATATAGTGCAAGAAATAAGGAAAATATCTGATGTATTATTTGCCTGACGTCTTCAAATGAGTGATAAATGAAAAGGACATTAAACAATAAACATAAACCAAAAAACCCAAAAAGGTTTAAATTTTGAAGGTAAAAGTAGAAGCTAATGGTCGGAGTTTCTTGCTATAACAGTATTTTAAAGAGAAATGATGCGATGTATTTTCTTTTATTATTACTCGAGCCAGACAATAATTAATTATCCTGATTCTTCTTCGCCACATCAGAACCTCTACACATGTAACAAACTTTACTGATTTCCGGCTTGAAAAGTGGGAGGGTATATATTGATCGGGATGTCTGTCCGTCTGTCTGTTACGCTTTGGGGTACCCATCTCTTATCTGCAACTCCTCTTATTCCATCGAATGTAATTTAATGAGACATTCTCGGATTCTTTGTTACGTAGTGCCAATGTGCGCCTGAACTGACACTGCCATTTTTTTGATATGGAAGGGTACCCATTTCTTATTTGCAACTCTTCCTATATCAATGAATAAAATTTAATGTTAATTTCATGGATTCTTTATTAATTATGCCATCGTGCACCTCATATTTTACTGCATGATCTGAAACTTACGGATCTCCAAGAGCAAAGCATGAGCTTTGCCATTATAAACATATGGGAGGTGGGGGTATATATATATATATATATCATTTAGTGAGGTCAGTGCCCACAGTACCTCTAGTTATGTAATTTAATTATTTTTTTTACACTATTGGCCTTCCCTTTAAAAGTGTTTATGTATATATACATGATGTGTGAGCATCCATACTTTGGAGTTGAAGGATAATTTATTTTTTGAGTTGCATGTACACTATTACATATTTCTTATACTATTTTTTTTTTAAGTAAGAAAGAATATTTTCAGTTATTGAAAATGGATTAGGCGACAGTCCACATTATTCATAAACTCTCATTTTTGGTTTGTAATAAAAGACTTACTCATTAAAATGAAATTTCTTCTCCTTCTTTAAAGAATAAGGCCAATCTTGTCATAAATATTTATTGCATTCTAGAAATATTTATAATTACTAACACAATAAAAAACAAATCATCATACATTTACATACTGACCAAATTCTTTCAGTGTTTATATGTCATTTTATTTCAATACATTCCATTCTGGCAAAATAGAAAACATACTGTGGTTTCATCTTTTTGTTAAACACCCATTTGTGTTCTTTTGCTATAGTACAAGACCATTTAACCAGGAGTTCAGTGTACTGTAGTCTTATTTTTTACTTATCACCAAACAGTATGAGGTGGGTGTTCAAAATTTATTATATTAAAGAGTTTGAATTGAAGACTTAAAAATTTGAAAGTAAAAAATACATGAAACCACAGTATTTATCACAGATAATTATATAAACAAATGTTTACCATGATAACATTCTTTAAAAAGATACTTTCTATCTACATTCAGAATCAGAATTTCAAAAGTACAGTTAAAAATATTATTTTTATTTCATTCATCATTTTTTTCTAGAGTAAAACAATTTGTTTAAAATATAACTTTAGGTTATTGTACTAACACTCTAAAATTCAAAAAAGCATTTGAAAATAAACCATCTAAAATAAATGTTTTTTAAAGTTAACTGAAACTCAAAACATCAAACTTACAAGCAACATAATTATTTTGCATTTACAAATAATGAAATTCTTAAAGAAATTACAACGTTTGTTTCTAATATTCAATTTTATTCCTGACAAAAATAGTTATTTAAAGTCATTAATTAAAATGAATTCTTTCTAAATAGTAAAAAGTCTTCCTCTTTTTCTCTTTCTTACGAATTAGGTACCACAAAACATCGGAAACTGAATTTTAAATACCACTTACACATACACACAAGGAAAGAGAGATCAAGATCTTATCAATCTGAGGATACTTATAATGGGACTTATGTTCTGCAATTCACGACAAATTGTTCTATATTGATCATCCTGATAAGGATTTCACGTTTCATCAAATGTATATTATATGACACAATTACTTGTAAATAACCATCATAGAAACAAACATTCACCATATGTGGTACATAGAAATACTGGCAACACTTTTGTTTTACAAAGATCAAATAAATGGTTTTCAAGGTGAAATCATGAGATGAACTTCTTCCATGGATTTTTATCCTAAATTCAAGCAAAAGGTGCAATCACTTCTTTTATTACCAGTCCACAGTCATCAAATTTCTCTTTAATTTGTTTGTCTACTACAAAGAAAAAGAAAATCAGTATTAAAAAACAATGAAATATGCATGTTTAATTTATAAGTAAAATCACTAGATTTTTTATAAAATCTTTATTTAACAGAATCCATAATCTCATCCATGTTTATTTTCTCTATTACCTTTCTTTCCAGCAATGTTGCTTCTAGATCTTTTCCCGATGCCTGTACCATTTTATTTTTTTAAGCTCTGTTTCATCTGCAAAACACAAGCAGTTTTATAAATAAGAATGGCATGGAAAACATTAAAAAAATTTAGTTTCTTGTTTTTTTAAGGAGTAATTTTCAAGAGCATTTGTCTTTGTTTCTTAACAAACTAGCTTTTCAAAAGAATCACAGTGAATATTTTCAATTATTCGGTTAATGAATTATAATATTTCTTTGATTCTTTAAACTAAATATATATTTAAAAAAAATTAATAGCCATTCATGCTGAAGAGTGCTTATATAGGCCATATTGCAAAAAAAGAGTTTCCCTTCAAATAACAATGATCCAAGTTCATGAAAACTAAACAAAAATGTCCTATTAATAACCAAAAATATCTTACCCTTCCGTCATCGAGACGTATTGTTGATTCGAAGATATTTCTATCAGACAGTCAATTTCCTCGTTCATCCATCAGTTCAATATCTGGATTCTTTTTGTGCTCAAATTTCTAGGATACTTCGTAAGATGAACAAATCAAGTACATTTAAAGTCCTAAATGGTCTGTATCATTTTTGATATACTAAAAAACCATCAAAGACTGCATGTACTTTATTATGAATGTTTATTTTGCAAAACTTTTACAAGATCACACTTGTGTTTCTGGTGGACTAAGGATGGCTTCACTTTCAGTTGAGACAGAAAGGTTATGATTCCCATTCCCATTACATACGGAAACTTTCACTTCCCTCTTTTGTTTGACACCACCAGTTCTCACAATGGAATATTCGGATTTTAAAGTGTTAGTTAATTTTTCCTTTAGTCCGCCGAATATTGACTTCATAAGTTTTTTGAACTCATGTCGGAAAATTTTCCCTGTTAACATGTAAATATAAAAGTTTCCTGCATAGTGAGTAAGTCCAATTTCCTCAATAACAGTTTTTGCCCAGTAATACTGAAAATGAGCTTTCCATGTATCGGTTATGGTGGGTAGAACACTAATATCACCGGGAGGAAACGTATAGTACAAAGTAACAACAATGGTCACCGGAAGTGTCGTAAATATTTGGTAAAAGGACACCGCCAGCAACATTACTGTCGTTGCTGAGTTTCTATATGTCCGTGTATGGAGAGTTCTCTGCTCGAACCGAGAAAGTCTTCGACCTTCTATGATTACAAGAATATTGAAAAATAGTATAGCTAACGGTACTAAAAGGAACACAAACGCCTCCACACTCCAGGTCCATATTGCCCAGAAGGATTCCGTCCCGTTCTCAATCACTGAATGTCGCAGAAGACAAGTTTTGTTCTCAGAGTCATAAGACCAGAAATATCCTTGAATACTGTTAATGCACAAACAACCTAAAGTTGTTCCAGCGATCACTAATTTGGCATTTCTTGTCGTGCACCAAGTTTCTCGTTTAAAAGGATGACAAATACTAATGTATCTTTCGACGGTGAAAGACAAGACAAGAATTGGAGAAAGATATTGAGAGGTCAAGAAAATAATGGGGTAAAATTCACAAATGAACGGCAAATCCAAACACTTGATTTCCCACTTTTCATTGAGTTCATAGACAACTTGCAGTAACAAAAACAAAAGATCCACAAAAGCTAAAGCAGCAAGGTAATATCCAGAGGAATTCCGCATGCGACGCTGGAGCCATATGATAAGAGAAAAGATATTCCCTGGAAATCCGATGACGTATGTATAAGGGGTGACATATTTGTCGACTGCCACTGCTTCAGGACAGAAGGTGTGATATATATCGTAGTCATAGGCCAGGAGAGTTGAGGACTCATTATAGAGAGCTCTTGTAAGGTTCCTGTCAAGGGTTTGATTTAATGCCATGGTCGTCTGCAAGAAAGAAAAACTATATCAGAAAAAGTATGTTCATACTTAAAAAAGTCACGAATGTTGTATTGCGATCAGGTAACAATATTAGCATTTAAATTGTGTTACTTTTGTAAATTTTAGCTGATTCAGTATAAAATGGAACCTTTTGATTGACGAAAGCATCTCTTTTTTACACATAAAGCAATGAAAATGAATGAGGTTTATATATGTGATAGGAAAATACATATCCATATTTGAAAGTAACAAAAAAGTTCATAATTAAGAAGAACAATTTACATTTAATGAATTCAAAACAGTCTGTTATCTAAAAGGGTAAAACTGAAGAATTTTTTGTACTTTTTTTACAATTATATTATGAATGAAATTATAATTATATAGCATATTTTCATAGATGGGATAACTTTAATTAAAAATTGTTGTTATGTTAGATAGCAAAAAGCATGGCAATTAAAATGTTAAAATCATTTTTTTTAATTCATTCTTCATGTGATACAGAGATACAAAAGATACATACGTTAAAAAAAATAATAATATATTTCATAACTGTTTAAGTCATTTCAAGAAATACAGGGTAATAAAAAAATCAAATTGTTGTTGGGGATTTTTTTACCCCAAAAAATTATTACAAAAAGTTGCCTGCATATATATTTAAAAATAAACTTTGATCAAAAAGCGTCAAATGAATTTTAAAGATCAAGCATTGATTACTAATTTGTAGTAAATTGTAAATTGTAAATTGTTTGATAATCAATCATATTAATAATATGTTTTATTTGTAAATATTATTTAGCTTAAATATTTTGAGCATTTTAGAACGACATTAATAATTGCATTGCAATCATCGTGACACTTTTGATTTTTTTTTTTAGTGCTGAGATGATATTTAACTTTGAAGGAAGAGAGAAAATCAAGAATCACTGAAAAATTGGTTTTCAAATTTTGAATTTTAAAGAACCGATAATTAGTCTTATATTGTAACTAAAATAAACGTAGAGATTGTCGAAAAATTACAAAGGCATCTGTTCACACACATTATTTAAAACAGATAGGAGAATATGACGTATCAAATTGGGGCAATAAATAAATTTTGTTTTGGTTCTGATTTTTTTTTTCTGGAAGTAATTAAACTATGTTTTGAACCAATGAATGATTTATACGTTTGTTTTTATGAATAATAGTTTTCATGACAATAAAGACAATTTCAAAGAAAATTCTAAGTGACAGATTTTTTTAAATTAAAAGATTGCAGTTCGTTACCAAAAAACTGTCAAATCTTTTTATGAAAAACGAAGGATAATCGTTCGGTTAAAAACATAAATACATATTGATCCATGCAAAATTGATGAAGACCATAAACAGTTTTGAAGATGTGTGATTTGTAATTAAAACAAAAATTCTTTTTTTTTCTTAAATATCAGAGAGGAAAAAACATTGTTGATTAGATTAATATATTTTAATCACTCAATTTTTAGTAATCGCAAATTCATACATTCGTTCAATCACGTAAATACTTTTCAGGATAATATTTTCATAGAATAATTTAAGATTGAGATTTTCATTTTGGTCCAATTAGAGCTTAAGTTTTTTCTGTTTATTTAGTCGAGTCCCGACGTTATCTTAAAACCTAAAATAAACTTGACAAAAATAAATTCCTGTCAATGACAACTGGGCTTAACTGTACCTATCCTAGACGACTAAACCATTAATAATAAAAACTCTAGTCGGGAGATTACTATACTTACAGAGTTTAGTTACATCTCATCTGGTGAACTACTGTTATGGAGACACAGTGACCTAACTATCAAACTTATCATTATTATACGGTATAGGCTGGCTGATTGCAATACAAAGTCGCGAAGTCTCTGACAAACCATCATTTCCGTCAATAAACTATGTGGTTGATGTTAAGTTTACAATTTAGAGCCAATTGATATCCTTATAGATGCCAAATAACCCCATTTTTATTATAGATGCCAAATAACCCCATTTTTATTTGAACATGCTTATCTATGTTTTGGCGTTTTCCCCCTAAGATTTCAAATGTGTGCCGCATTTTAATCAATTAATATACTATCATACCCGTTTTTTAAGTAACAAGGATTTAACCGAATTATATTTTGATTCATCCAAAACACATTTGAACAGCTAGCCAAACCAAGCTACTGTATGAAACATCAATACTATATTAGGCAAAGCTATTAATGTGAAAGGTGCATACAATGCATGGAATTGTATATTAAGCTTTACAATTTGCGAAAGGAATACTGGAAGCGTTTTAAAATTTCGCTTCTGTTATACCATGTAATTAATAATTATAATTACTACATTATTACAAAATGTGACTATATATTTCTCTGTATTCATGTTCACTATTATTTTGTGGCTAACACCTTGTCGACGACTCATTAAACTGCCATTCTGTGTTTTATTATGGCCTTTTGTATCACTTTAATTACTATTAGTGAGTTTGTTAATCATTGCAATTAATCAAACAACCACAAGCAAATGGTTAAGATTGGGTTAAGATATTTTTATGTGGAAATCAATTCAAAAAGGAATTTTTAAAAATCCCAAATTTTGTACACTTAAAAAAAAAGATATATATTTAAGTTCCTCAAAAGAAGGAATAGAGGGAAGACAGAAGGGGATTTCATGTATAAAAAAAAAAAGACGGCTTCCAAGAAATATATTCTACACCAATGTAAATTATATTTAATCCATTTTATCTTATCACCTAAAATGCATTATATAAGATAATTATTTGATTAGCATCAGTTTCACAAGGCAAGGAGTAAGAAACCAATTTGCATCATTTGAATTGAAGATATATTCTTAAAATACACCTGACTAAAGTGCTGTTCACCTCTAAGGATAAATTCAATTATTGTACAACTTCAATAGAAAGAATGAAAGACGATTTCTGCAGAATCCTCAAATGTTTGCAATAGCCCCCAGTGCCCTTTGCTTACATGTACTTGTATATACTAAGGTTATATATAATAATTTATCAACGCCGTACCTTTACTGTGTCCAAGAATCCCATGCCTCTTGATTAAAAGAAAACATTCCAATAGAAAACACCGAACCGATCACTTTGTGATATCCAATTCAAATGAAGTAACCTCTCTATAACTTTGAATTCATACTTTAATAGTTTAATGATATGCTGTTAATTTTCGTTCGCTCTTTTTTCACGTACCTCTTGGCCAATGAAATCGTTTATTACATTATGTGTTTCTATCTTCTTTTTTGCAGTAATATTTTCCTCAGGTAATTGAAGTTATTTATATTCAATCTTAACCTATTGTGTTTTCTATTTTTGGTTGACTAATTTACACTTTGGTGTCAGGAATAATATAAAATGTGGCAGAATACATAAGGAATCAGAGAGAAGTTTTAAGACGGTAATTTACCGATTTCATCAAGAATAAATTATTTTTGAATTTGATGGCTTGTAAAAAAAAAATAACAATTGAACATCCAACTGATAAGTACTTTTGATCTGCAAGCAAACTTAATTCAACTTTTTAGTCGTCAAGCAGAAACATTCTAAAATATATATGGAAATTATGATTAGATAAGTTGTGAAACTTACCGTTTCCATTTCAATGTACACCTGTATAATGTCATGTATGAGAGTTAATTGCTCATTTAAAATGTTTAAATTCAAATTTCTTAGGTGTTGTAAGGAATCTGATAGATATTTTTAAGAAATTGCTGGTAAAAATGATTTCTATAATCTTAATTATATGAATATTAATATTATTATTATCAATGTACTAATTACCACGAAAACGGTAACAGATTTTTTTTTCTTTAAAGAAATGATTCCGTTTACGAACAACTTGATTACAGAGAGGAAGCGAGATTGAATTTCCAAATGGAAGATACTTTTTTGGAACATAAATCGAAATTTTATCTCTTTATCTAAATAGTAAGGTCATCCGTGAAAAATTATGTTGAAAATCATTGTCGCACATCTGGATGAGACTTTTGGTATGTGTAATATGTAAATCTGTTGACAAAAAATCATACAACTGCATATTTGGACTTAGGTCAATTAAACAAGATTTTGTTTACAACTGGCTGAGGGAGTACATTTAAACTTAAAAATTCTGAATTAATTCTGAAATATTGTAATGACTTGTATTCCGAATTTTAAAATGATAATGCATCAAACTTGATTAAATATGTGCATTTGAAATTTTCTATAAATTTCTCTCTTTCCATCTGGCAAACGCACTACGAAAAAAAATCTTTGAAATATGATGTCTAAACTGCAGTAATTGATATCATCAAGTGCGACTGTTTTCTTTAGATGTTCAGTCCTTAGGTGTTTTAGATAACACCTGTAATTTTTCAAAAATAAACTGGATGGAAATGAACTTTTAAGTAAAAATCTCCATCGTTATTTTTAATCTCTCCTTCGCTTATAAATGATTTACTATTCAAGCCCCATTGCTTAAAAATACACCATTGTTGTGTCTGCTTATATATTCCAAACGACTGATAACAAACTGTCTCAATTTATCCTCATCAATAATGAATTTATGTTTCTAACTTCCGACATCCATTAATATTTTACTTATCAAATATATTTTACCTTCTGCGTTAAAACTAGAACCTAAGTTATACTATAAATATTAAAAGAACACTTTTTTCAATATTGCATCCATTTTAGTTTCAGAAAATGATTGATGTCTGCATTTGCTCTTTCTTCAAAAGAATAATTATTTTTAAAAAATTGATATCAACATTATTAAGTCTTACATAAATGTTTTGAACTGTTTGTAAAAATTCTCTGATTGACCAGAAAGTGTTCATTGCTCTATCTGGTGATGCTTAACTTAATTGATATGTTTTATGCAGATCACGGATTTTACAGTGCATTAGCATGATTGTATGATTGAGAATCAACAGAAAAAATATGCATCTCACATAGAACTACTCATTGTAAAACTTAAGACAAGTGACAATGAAAAAAAAATTAAGTTCCAGTGTCAAAATTAACACGAATTCTTACTTGCTATAGATTGTTAGCTTATGTTCTATATTGAATGATGTTAACCAGATCTAGTAAAACAAACACCCGAAAGGTGAAATAAAAAGTGATTTTGAAATACCGAATTTTTTTTAACCTAATTATATGATCTTGTCAAAAAAACTGTTCGTAACACCGTCTCTTAATGCTTGTTTTAGCAGTAGTTTTTCTAATTTATGGAAAGAATTGCATAAAATCTTGTCAGATTTTCAAATGTCTTACGTGTCCTGACATTATTAAAAGTGTGATGCCTCTCATTCGAATATTTTATGAAGAGTTTAAGAGAAATCAAAGATCAATTATGATGTTTAACTTAATTTTCTTACTTTAATAATGGTATGGAAGAAATGTAAATATACAATGAATTTCAATTGTAATTATTTATTTTCGGGCCTTTGATTATCAAACTAATGTATAAGATGATTTAGGAAATTATATAAGCGGTTTAACATTCAAATCAACATTTGCCAGATGATTAATGTTAGAGAACTGGATATTGGCAAAACAAATAAAATAAACCCTTTCTGGTTTTCAGACAAATAGCCCAATTAATATGCTTTCTAAGAACCTTTTTGCAGTATTTTATGTGTTTTGGTCTTTTGGACTTTTGCAGTGGAAAGATTATATTTAAAATAGCGATTTTAGGAATAGAAAAGTTTTATATGAATAACGCATGGATTTTTTGATTGTTTACAATCACTGCCATTTATTTTTTTTATGTAAGAAGCACTAGAACTTGTAAAATGTTATGATGTTACACAAGAATATCAGAATTTTTCCTTTAGAAGAGAGAACATTTTGTTTAAGTTCTTTGCTGTCTTTGACCTCGTCAGCAAATACAATTCATTAATAAAAAGTTTGAAGAGAAACAATTGTTAGTCCGTTATTTATACACTGAATTGACGACGGATTTTTCCGTTAAATCCCGATCACGACAAGGAGCACACGGCGGGTGTGACTGGTTAGCAGAGGATGCTCACTCCTCCATGTCACATGATCCCACCTCTGATGTTTTAGAGGTCAGTGTTTTCTCTGCTGTTTTATGGACTTTGATATTGAATACTGTTCGTTATCTTTATATCCTTCATTACAAACATAACGAGAATTTCTCTGGAGAGAATGAGAGAACAATTTGTTTAACTTGACTGCCGTAAAACGAGTATCTAATGAAAAGTTTGAAGAAAAACAAACGATTATATTAATCTCTTACATCTAATTTATAAAAAATATCGTAAAAAGGATAAAAATAAGAACTCTAAAACACAAGAGATTGGATCGATTGGGATGCTTAGGGGAGTAAAATTCCCTGTTTTATTTACAAACAGTCTTTACAATTGTGGTTAATATATGAAAAAAGGACTTTGAAAAGGGTTGTAAAAATTCTTGTAACATAAACATGTTTGTCATTAGTTTGATTCGATTTAAAAGTTGATCATATGTAGAACATGCCCTTGAGTATTTAATCAGTTGTGAAACATTATATATAGAGCATGCCCTTGAGTATTTATTCAGTTGTGAAACATTATACATGAATGCAGGTGTTGTCAGGAATTTTGTAAAATTAATGAGGGAAGTTGGTGATGAAAAAGCTAAGGTTTTCCTGTTAAGTTAAAAAATAAAGCCATTAACGTCAATAGTAAATAATACATCAAAATATGAAATAGAAGTGGCAATCTCTGCATTGTGTTTTATTCAGAGTCCAATTGGATATATTGAGCTGACATATAAATGAAAGTAGTCAATATTAATTTATGAAACGTAATAGATATTTTTAAATGTTTAGTTATAGGCCACAGCAATAGTATTTTTTCTTCTAAGGAAGAAATTTTCAATAAATTTTAATTCTATATTATACAATAAAAGATTGCTTATAAAAAAGATCAATTAATGTCAATCGTTATACCCAACAAATTGTTGCAATATCGGACCAAAAGACCATAATCAGACTTTTTTGGTAATTTGAAGTAGATATGATTCTTATATTAAACTTCGATAATCAAAAAATATTCATGATTTGTTTATATTTGAGTTGTATATAAATATGAAATTTTTGAAACACACATGTGAAAAAAATCAAAATATTCAAAATCGAAAGTGTGACACTCCCAACATTGCAAAAATATTGTCGTAATTTAAAGTACTTGCACATAAATCAGATTGATATCAAAAAATTAATTTTGTATATGACCATTCGCATATGATCTTTCCGCTTTCCAGTAGTTGTCTTTGATGTCTATGACTCTGTTATTTACTTTATATTGAGGAACACAAGCATAGAAGAGTCACTTTTTGATGCAATTGGTGTTTGAAAAGTTTCAGTTTTTTTAAAATTATTTGAGTTGATATATATCACTTCTTAAATTTCATGTAGCACACCACGTAAACTCCTTTACCATGATAAAGGTTTGGTGAGCAGCTTTAAAAAGCGATACAAAGGCAGACTTAATCTGAAATAATAAAACCACTTGCTAAATTCATAATTCAAATAGATTCCTCTCTCGACTTCGATGCAACAAAAGATACTAAATGGTTTTGATGTCACTCACTTTTTAACCTCCCCCGTGCAAAGAAAGCCATTGAGATCTTAATTTGTTTTTTTTTAAGTGAAACTCATATCATTATAAGGCCACCTGTTCTCCTTTCTAATTGCCTTTTTTCTTAGCCTATTTAATGCAGGAAGTTATCATCATAGATATTAATTAACTTTTTATTATGATTATTCCGTATGTTTTCTCAGAATTTATGGTGGATGGAAGTCATCCCTGTAACTTGTACTAGTGTTGTGCTAGCACTGAATAGTTAAGTGGAAAAAAAATTACTCTTACTTTTAGCAATGAAGATTCCCCATGAATTACAACCGATTAAAATGCAACTGCATGTCAAGCCAAAATTTGTAGAGATTTATGGTCAATTTTTAAATAAAATTTTTCCCTTTACTGTATAAACTTTTGGCAATGATTATATTCAGACAGGGAACGTTCTAATTTGAACTCTTTTTTAAATGGTAAGGCTTAAAATAACAGACTTAAGGAATGTTTTTATTTACTTTTAAATATTTGCTA